GTATAATAAAAGTTTTGTTGATGATACCAGGTTTTGGAAGCGTTTATATTTATGTTGGAACGACAAAATTTATAGAAAAATTATTTTTTATAGAGCAGGTATTTGCACAACTTGATATCTTCTTATATGTCCCCCTTTGACGTCACGCCGCGCAGTTATCATGGCCACCGCTCGTGGCTGCAGGTCGGGAAATATTCTAATTTTTACCTCGCGATTGCGCAACAAAATTGCTACATCTCGAAGGCAGGAGATATGTTTTCTGTCCTTCGTGACAAGATAAACCATGTCAAAAGTAGAAGATGCAAATTCTTTCAACGTTAAAATCGTTGCATTGCTCCTTTAAGACGTACTTTGCTTACAGCGATAACATCTTACCATTTGCTTCCGAACACTTCTTTTTCTCTTCTGCTCTCGACCGCGTGAAAGAGCGTCTCCAGGCACGAGCTCTTGGCGCTGACTGTTCTACAACGACAATTTTTTTTTCCGGCGATATTTTTGAAATTTTTCTGTGAGCGCATGTTGTCGGTGTATCGGTACCGCAATATACAAAGAATGTCATCACCCTAAACCACGATATAAGATATGCATAGCTCTGGACACCGCGCGCGTCGCAGCTGCTAGATAAAAGAGAGTTTTAGTAGATCGTTCCGATACCTCCGATAGCCCCGATAACGATACTATGCATGCACAAGGGAGGCGGTGGCGGAGTATCGGGTATCGTTATCGGAGTCATGGGAATGATCTACTAAAACTCTCTAAAGTCCCCTCTAGAGCCACTAAATAAGCTGCACTAAATAAGCGTAGCTTATAGCGAGTTCGTTTCACACGCACTGGCACCGTTCGAGTTCTCTCCCAGAATGCATCGCACTCACAGAGTGTTGCACGGAAAACTGGACTCAAACGAACTTGCCAAATGCACCGAGTGCAGAAGACTGATGCTGCCGCCATCTATGTGGTAGAAAAGGTACCGACTTCAAACCGAAACTAGCGCCTTTCTGTTCCGAGTGATGTGTGGAAATGCGAGAATGCAGTCGCTACCAACGTTTATTTACAAACGTTGGCAACTGCAACCTGTAGTTTATAGTTGCGATGTCTTCAAGCAGCTCGGCTGCCGTAGAGATAGTTACAGACGGCGTAAATTTCCGCAACAGCTGTCCCCAAAGCAGCTGGTTGCGATCTTTCAATCCTTATAACCGTTTACACTAAAGAAAACTGATGATGCTGTCCGAGCAGAAGCTCGATCCGTTTGAGCATGGTATTATGCGTGAACCACTGAAAGGGTACGGCTTAAAGCTAGCCTGTTGGAATATCCAGCAAAACTGGGACTTTCGATTTGGATCGTCATTATGGATTAGATATTAGCCTTGGTGAAGGCGTCGAGAACGAGAGCTTTCTCGAACAAAATACGACGGGGCAAGTTAGCTGCGTAGGTAAATGTTAAACATGATGATGTTGCCCAATCCTCGGGTAAAGTCACCATCTTTAGCTTTCTCTGCTGCTTATTGGGCAGTCAGAGGTTTCTGCTGGGGGAGTTTTATCGAAAAATGTTAAATTTTTTACCCGCACACGGATGGTGATAGACATCTCGGGGGCCGCTGTTGCGTTTGTTCTGAGCATTTCTTTACACACTGGTATATTTCAGCGTTTGTACGGCAACAGAGCGATTTAAAATCTGCAAATAAATTACGGGTTGTCAATTGCTTTCTTCGTGAAACAGCAGACGCTCACAATTCAAGCTCGCGTTTGATTTCGTTGCACCGCGGGACGCGATTTCTATCAGAAAATCTACTTTTTTTCCTTTCGGTTCCGCGACACATCGTAGCAGACGAACCCTCGTCGTCTGCTCCCGCTCCTCGCCGGCCCCGCCTGAGCGAGGCATGACGGGATTGCATTTTGGCGCACTCCCGATTTTCTCGGTGCAGCGAGTGCATGCACGCGTGGGGTGTCAGCGCTGAAACGAACTCGGAGAGTGCAACCACTCGTGGAGCGCCGGCCGAAACGAACCCGTTCCACGCTGCGAGTGGGCACGCGTGGGCACGAGTGCCGTGAAACGAACTCGCTATTATTTAGTGACACTAGTCCCCTCCTCGGCTTGGTTGCGAGCGGCGACACCAGATGGCTCCTCGGTATGCGGCTAATGGTAGGATCCAGTGGTGACAAATCAGCGGTCATGGTGTTCAATGATGACGGAATCGCAGGGCTAAAGATTCAAGAATTAGAGGTTGAGCAAGTCGATAAATGCAAGTATCTAAGAGTATGGATTAACGATAAAATACCTTAATGAACGTGCAAAATGTGTAACAGGTAGGGGCAACAGAAATGACGCTGTAATAAATAATCGAGCACCGTGGAGCGGTAACTGGTATGAGGTGGTGAGGAAGATCTAAAAAGGAGTTATGGTTCCGGGCCTGACTTTTGCAAATGCAGTTTTGCGCGTAAAACTGGACGTTCAGAAAAGGCTAGAAATAAAGCAACGTGGAGTAGGTAGATTGGCTCTGGAAGCACAATGCAAAACACTAAACCAAAGTGTACAGGGCGATATGGGATGGTGATCATTCGAGGGCAGGGAACCTAGGATTAAGGTAGAACTTGAGGATAGGCTAAGAGAAATAGATGCAGAAGGACGGGTACGACGAGTTCTTAGCTATTTACACATGAGAAGCGTCAACGCAAAATAAAAAAAGCGGATTAGAAAATTTACATCTATATATATGGGCCATAGCAGGGAGGCAGATGAGAAAATCAAGGTTAAGAAGAGGGTTAAAGAAACTGAGAGGGAAATATGAAGAACAGGCATGCAAACTAAATTGGCCTTGGAATTGTACAGATCGTTAAAGAAGGAATAAACTGTAGTAAGGTAGTAAGCTGGGCTAGTTGGTAAGCATTAAACAGGATGATAGACCGCGCACAAATAGGCAGAACAGACGAAGTAAGAGGAGAACGGATGTGAAGAGAAGATAACAAAAGAGAAAAGACGGAACGTTGGGTACTAAGACAGCTAGATATCAGGAAGCAGAAATGGTGTGTGGAGCTTGTAGAGAGGAGGAGGAGAAGGCCCAGCCCTTGACAGTTCTCTGTAAGGGGCTTCACCCTGTAGTAGCTGAGGAAACGACTAATTTAACAAACACACTGGGATTTATAGATAGTGAAGGGAAAATAGTCATGAGGATGGTGGCGATAACCGAGAAGGGGTTGTCTGACTGGTGGCCTAGATCGAGGGAAGGATTAGTAACTTATTCCCTTCCGGGCGACCCGTAGGGGCGGGAGGCACCTGGCTGTATAGAGGCGCCTTCGTCGTACGGACCATATATAGCTTTTAAAAATAGATCTCTATCTTTAAAACTCTATGTTAAATGATAGTTAAGAAAAAAACGACTTTTACAACTCTCTGTAATGCCGAATTAAAGCGCAGCTCTTGAGGAGGAGGGGAGGGTACGGAGGGGAGGCTATGCCTTTCCTCCCCCTCCTCCTCCCCTCCCATTTAGCTGGAAATTTTCGCTACATTTCCAGCTAAATTCAGCGGAAAAATATAGCGGGGAATTTCTTCCGCTAAATTTAGCCGGGAAATTTTTTTACCTAATGTAGCGGAACAATTCCCTTCTCCTCCTCCTCCTCCCTCGTGACGCTCTTGACGTCTTTCGTGACCCTCGTGACGTCACACGTGACGTCACGTGTAACGTCATCATGAGACACGTCCCATAATGCAACGCGCGGTTACGGCGACGCCGCCCAAGCCCGAAACAGGCACCTAAGAGCTGCGCTCTAAAAGAAGCACTGGCTAGGCGGCGCATGTCGCCCGCATGCACCCATTCATCCAATGGCAGCCTGTTCCAGGTCCGGTCTCCCATGCTTCTCAATAAGAGATATGCTTGCTTTTAAAGTAATTTTATAGGTCCGCCACGTCATGTAGAACTTGGCACTTGCACTACGCGTGTTGCTTAGACACTGCTTCGTCATTGATCCTAGTTTCGTGCCTCAACGGCGGCAATAACAGCGTTATGAACACGTTGAAACGGAGAGATCTCTGGCGCGGTGTTCAAGCTAGCGTCTGTCAAGGTCAGAGCAGACGCTTCGAGCGGAAAGAGCGCGCTCGTAACGATACTTCGGATTTATTCCTCTCTTTTCTGCTCAGTTGCGTCGTCTGAACGGCGGAGACGCTGACGGCTGAGGCTACTCGGGCGCGCGACAACAGGACTTTATCTGGTCGATCCCGTCGCAACATAGGCGTACCAACTTGTTTTTGAGTAAGAAGGCAATCCCCCCCCCCCCCTCCCCCCGCCCCCAGGGCCGGTAGTCTCCCTAGGGCGCCGCCGGCCAGTGTTTTCCCTGCCCCGTGGCGGCTGTTTCAGGGGTAGGGGGGGGGGGGGGGGGGGAGCAAAACACATGCCTTGCCCCCCCACTCTGAGAACTGGGGGGAGGGGGAAGGGGCGACCGCCCCTCTTGCCCCCCCCCCCCCCCCCCCCCCCCCGGTTAGTACGCCCAAGCGTCGCAGCGTTCGGCGTGTCGCGTGTCCTCATCTATCTATATATATATCTTACACCGAGCCCTCAACAGAAGGACATTCCGGAGTTTTTTGCCATGAACATAAAATGCTTGTTAACGGAACTCCCAATAATTTTTTAATCTGTGCGTCTAGGAATTTCCCTGCTAAATTTAGGCGGGAAATTGATGCTACATCATGTGACACTACTTCTCATTGTCACGTCGAGTTAGCAGCACGTCAACTCAGCAGGTCACGTGACGTCAATTTTGCCGCTAAGTTTAGCGGAATAAGCAATGTGTTCCTGATCACTACTCAAAAAGAGTGGTTAATGTCTTCTAAACAAATTTAAGACAATGCTCCTTGAAAATGCATTCAATAGATTATGAATCTGTGGAGATAAGGGTGAATACCATTTTTGGGGGCTTATACGTTTATATTTCGAAACCATTTGAGAGTTGTCGATAAGGAGCTGGACAAACAGGTACTCCTATCCCGATTAGGGATCATATCATCTTACCTTGCGATACTTCTGCCAGTGGTTCATAGCTGCCATTTTCTTATTCAATCGCATAAGGTTTCCGGAAGCCCGGAAGAGTAGCAGACATCCACCACCAGGCTTCAGCAATTCGGCGATGTTCTTGAACCCCGTTACTTGATCGTTCGTCCAGTTTAAGCAAAAAAAGGAGTAGACGCGATCGAAGCGACCGTATCTACGAATAAAGTCGGGCACTCCGTTTCCCGCAATGTCCAGCACGTCGTAGCAGATCTTGGGGTGGCTGAAGTGCTTCTTAGCGTACTCAACCATGTCCAGTGACACGTCGACCGCGACTATTTTTGCCAGCGGTGGACAGCGTGGAAGTAAATGGCGGCAGGTGAAGTCTCCGGGACCGCAACCCAAGTCGAGGAACTGTTGCTCCTTGGTCTCGTTTACAAACGTGCTTTGTAGTAAATCGAGAGCGCGGATATTTTGTTTTCGCTGCCTGGTGTTGACGACCATGTACGCGTCTGGGTTGATCGTAGAAGATACAGCCGCGCCGTTCACCGACGCACTTGTTGATGCTGACGTTGGCATCTCGGCGGATCGCAGACAATCACGATGACGAGTGGTTGTGCAAAAGCGTTAACCCTTCTCTGGCTCTCTGGCAAAGTAATCCGAGCTCCCGATCTCGCCGATGTTAGCCCGTAGAAAAGAGTAAACCGTCGTTTATGCGCACGCGCGATTGAGACGAGTTCGCCGTCAATACGACAGCCATTCGTTGGTTGCCGTTTTCCCTAAGGGATGATCGACCTCACTTCGGGACCACACTGTGGCAATGCTTCAAATATGGAACGAACCTGTACGACATCCGGGAAAAGCAGCTGAAGGCAATAGTGTATCATATAACATTTTTCTGAAGCTGTTTGTGGTTAAAATGAAAACAACTATAGTTCATTTCCGCTAAAGTACAAGCGCAGCCGGCGCTACGAGCTGATGAGACAAATGAGCGTTAAAAAGGCACCATCATGGTGTTCCCCATGTTTCAGTACGTGTTTTATCGCCGCTGAACCAATCATAGGCAGAAAAGGCCTAGTGACTTGCGTTTTTGAGGCTGCTTGATGGGGCCTTTTAGCTCGTAGTGTCGGCTGCGTCTAGACAAGCTGAAACAGAGTACAAATACAAAACAATCGAAACTTGAGCTGGGCGTCGATTAAAAATTTTAAGATTAATCGCCCCCCCCCCCCCCCCCGCTTTTGTCGATTAATAAATCGATTAATCGGTCTCATTCATTTCGATGCATATTTAAAAAAAAAATCTAAATTATTAAATATATTTTTTTGCCTCTGCTGAATGTGTGATAAACGGCGCAATACACTTTCGATTAGGAATCAACTGCGATACGTAATTGAGAACAATTGTAAGACATTCCCACTGACAGATTATTGCTTCAGCTGCACGAGGCAAAGAGGTTCGTAGAAATTCTCCGGCAAAAGTGGCCTCCGTTGGTTGTTCACAATAGTCTCCGCTGCGCTAAACGGACACTCGCACGGCGTTGAAGTGGCCGAAACACGTGTAGTCTTCTGCACTTGTCTGGAGTTTAAAATGTCGCCCTTACAGTTTACTTTAGGTTAAAATTTCACCCAAAGTTCGCCCTTATATGGGTGCATTCGTCCACGTTTACGTTGTCAAAGAATTTAGTTTTTACTTTTTTTTGGTCCATCAAAATTTGACCGCAGAACAGATTATAAATTTAATCGAGATTAAAGCATTAATTATTTAATCAGTAGGTTATTCGATCAATTGCTCACCCCTAATTGAAACACGAAAGCGATTGCTTACATGAAGATAAGGTTACATAGCGCTGAAAAGCACAGGGTACGGCAGTGGTGTACGAACTCATTTGCAAACAAATTATATAGAAAAGTGTGTTTTGTACATTTCTATTAGCATGCTCATTCCGACCTGCTAGTAGAACGTCGATATTAGCTTTTTGTGCTCAACTCTATATATGACTGTCTAGGGCCCTCCACAACGAAAGTAAGAGTGAAAACTGAATAGCCAGGCTGCATTTTTGCGGTGCTTCTTTGCAGACCACTTGGAATCAGGTTATCATTTCGAAGTGTTGTTAGGATGGAACCTTTACTGTCCGTGCTTAATCCCAGAACCTAACTGCACGTTCCCCCGGCCCGTCCTCGTCGTCTTTCCCATTCCGTGTTCGTCCTCTCGCGGCACGTGCGCGGCACGTGCGCGGCACGTGCGCCTGGCATAGTCCTTCACCAGACACTCCTCACAGGTCTCCCCCTCTTGAGACGTGAACCAGACGGGAGTATACCTGGAACTGGCTCGTGGTACGGTGTTAGCTGGTCCGCGTTAGCCACGTGTCGGTTTCGCCCAGTAACTGGGTCCTTAAGCACGAAGTCGTTAGCACCCAGGCACTGGACCACACGGAAGGGCCCTGTGCGGCGTGGAGCAAGCTTCGCAGTAATGCCTTTGGCCGCATCGCTCAATGTGTGGGCATCAAGGAGGACAAGGTCACCTTGACGTATTGTTGCAGGCTTCCGGTGCCGGTCGTAATAAGTTTTCTGGGCCTGCCTTGCTTTCTCTTGGTGATCGCGAGCGAAATTGAGTGCGTCGTGCAGGCGCCGAGTGACTTCCGCCGCAAGAGCATGACATCTGAAGCTGGAGGCTCGCTGTCATCCTTGAGTCCCGCCACCTCCCATGGGGTGCGAAGCTCTCGGCCGTAGCAAAGGAAGGCTGGGGTAAATCCGGTGACGACGCTTTCTGCCGTGCGCATCGCGAAAGCGATTGTAGGAATGTGCTGGTCCCAGTCTCTGGGGGTGGAACAATATGCTCTAAGGCTCTCCTTCACCGTGCCATTGTGCTTCTCTACCATTTGTCCTGATGGCCTGTATGGCACAGTGTGGCGGTCGGCGATTCCCCAGTGGCTTAGGAGACCTCGCCACAGTTTACTGACGAATGGCTTGCCGTTGTCACTGGAGATGGAAACAGGTGTGCCGTGTCGGCAGAAAACTTGCACCATGCACTCTATAATGGTTTTGCTGGTTGCTGTTCGTAAAGGAAAAAGTTCAATAAACTTTGTGAATTTGTCGATTATCACCAAAAGGTATTTGTTGCATCTAGGTGTGGTGGGCAGAGGTCCTACAATGTCCACACTTAGCTCCTCCATCGGTGCAGTGGCCCACTGGCTGCTCATAAGCCTTTGTGGCTTCTGGCGGCGGGCTTTAGTGCGTTGGCACACTTGACAGCAACGAACGTGCCTGGCGACGTCAGCTCTCATTCCCAAGACAAAGCGGGAAGAGACGCGTTTTAGAGTTTTAGAAAAACCTGCGTGAGCGCTTGTGGGATGGTCATGTGACATCTTAAGTGCCAATTGGCGAAGATGGGTAGGGAGCCAGGGCACCTTTCTTTCCCCGCGTAGTTGAACGAGGAGGCCGTTGGCTTCTACTTCTGCTGTTTCCGCCAAGTCCGCCAGTAGGCGCCGGTCAGGGTCATCATCAGGAAGCTTCATGCCTTCTTTAACACTCAGGAGCCTCGACAAAAGAGTGTCCTGCTTTTGCTCGTCAATTAATCTTGCCCTGTCGCTCAAGCAGGTGACATCGTCGGTCAGGGACACTGCTGCAGCTGCCTCAAAGGTGATCTGAGGCTCCGACTCTGGTGCACAGATGGGAAACAGCGTTTCAGGCAGGCTCTGATCAGGTATGTCTACCTGCTGGAGAGGTGCCCTACTGAGGGCATCTGCTGGGATATTCGCAAGCCCTCTCCGGTGCTTGATTTTGCAGTTGAAGCCCTGGAGTCGAAGAACCCAACGCTTGACTCTTGGGGAGGCCTGGTCGGTGCTGAACATCCAGGATAGTGAGGGTGGTCGCAGTGGATTTCAAACTTGGTAAACTCGAGGTAAGGTCTGAACTTGTCTACTGCCCAGACCACTGCGAGACACTCCCACTCCTGGACGGTGTAACGTCGCTCAGATTCAATAAGCACCCTGCTGGTGAAGGACACCGGTTGCAGTTGGTCGGGGCCTTGCTGTAGAAGCACTGCAGCTATGCCAACTCCGCTATCATCTGTTTCGACGACGAAGGGCCGATTCAGGTCTGGCAAACTCATCACCGCATCGTGGGCCAGTGCATCCTTGAGCAGGGTGAAGGCATGCTCCTGCTGGTGATTCCAGATCCACTTTCGGTCATTTCTCAAGAGATCGGTGAGAGGGCGGGCAATAATGGAGAACTGTTGGATAAAGTTCCGGTAATAGCCAACCAAACTCAGAAAGGCTTGCAGCTGCTTGACTGTGGTAGGTCGGGGGTAGTCGAGCACCGCCAACACCTTCCCCTCGTCCGGCCTACATTGTCCAGGGCTTATTACATGGCCCAAAAACTTCAGCGACTGGTAGCACACCTGAACCTTGTCAAGGTTCATGGTGAGTCCTGCTGATCTGATGCGCTCCAGGACTTCTCGGACATGTGCAACATGGCTGTCCAGCGTCTCTGAATACACAAGTACATCGTCCATAAATGCCATAGCAAATTGGTGGTTGATTCCATTCAGGACTCTGTCCATCAGCGTTTGAAAGGAGGCTGGACCACCTGCAACACCAAACGGCATCCTTGTAAACTCGAAGGTGCCCTGGTGCCATATGAACGCCGTCTTCGGAATGTCGTCCTCGCGCATAGGGATTTGGAAAAAAACCCTGCGAAAGGTCAAAGCTTGAGAACCACTCCGCTCTCCCGAGTTGTGCCAGCAGCCAGTCTGTTCGGGGCATTGGATACACTGGCACCTGGTGCGTGCGTTGAGCGGCCGGTAGTCTATGGCTAGGCGAAAGCCTCCGGATTTTTTGGCCACCAGAACAGGTGCACTGGTCCACTCACTGGTGCTCCGACGCACAAGTCCCTGTTCCCGCAAGTCTTGAAGGCAACTGTCAATGATCTTTTGTTTCTTAGAATTGACGGGGTGCAACTTGCAACGAACGGGTGGACTGTCTCCTGTGTCAATTCGGTGCTCGGCAAGGGAAGTGCAGCCGGGAGTTTTGGTGAAGATTGGCCCAAAGATCTCCAACAATTTCTTTATAGGAGCATACACTCCCGGTATCTTTGCAGAGTCTCCATCGCCTTCGGTAGCGCTATGGCTGAATGTGATGGCGCAAGTTGACTCCTCTTTGAAGAGGTTCTCCAGGGAGTACGAATATTCTTCTGCCCCAAGCTCGCTGCTTGCTTGCTTTATGGCCTTCACAAATGGAACAATGCGCTGGGGCTCTGTTCCAATTGTCCATCCCCCAAGCGCCACATGCAAGGAGATATCTGTCACTGTAAGGAAATCCCTTCCTAAAACATTGTCTCTGCAGAGGTCGGGCATACACAGAAAACGTTGTCTCCGGGAACCGGCCGCCCACCGGATCTTGCACCGAAGAGATG